ACTGCTGAGGGGAGCAGCGGGCAGGTCAGGAGAGGTCTGCCGTGCCATGTGGTCACCTCCGGGGCAGGCGGGAATCCAACTCATACAGAGGTGGCTTTAGATTCTCAGTGCTGTGCTTTAACCCGCTGTGCCACCAAGGAGGGCCTCAAGAGCTAGAATTTAAGAGAAATTCTCTATCTTATGACTAGATAGGACTTCTGATACTTACACATTATCCCATACATGATAATTTTGTGTTGCTAAGTATGGGTCATGAGTCTTATTTATTTAGTTAAATTACCCTAATATTTGATAAGTTAGTTGTAACTGTTCTTAATTTTCTCAGATCATACAGAGTGTAAATTGCTGATCTGAAATTTATTTCCAAGTTTCGCAAAACTCATGTTTCTCTACTAAACTACATTACAATGATAATACAAAATGTTGTTTATTTGAGACAATTCCAGACTAATATATTACCTGCTATTTCTTGCTTTCTAGCATCATAAGTATATTCCTAGGTGAAAGTATAAGCATTAAAACGCTTTTACTCACAAAAAAATATTCTTGATTAATATCCTGGCACTAATGTGTTGACTGTGATTAACCCTCTGAGTATAGTCATTTTTAAACTGGGTGTCCCAACAACAGACTTTCTTTTGTCAAATCTTGAGCTCACATAATGATATATTGCACTTTCTAAAAGAACTCTAATCAAGAAAGCAGTTTAGGGCACCATCATAGCCAATTATGAAATATTGTTCCTGAGTTCAAAGTTAGAATCAACTTATTATCTTTCCTGAAATAGATTGAGGGGAAATAAATATTCAAACTTGAATAATGATTAGTCTCGAAAGCAGGCATACATAAGGTAAAAATGCAGGCCACAACCATTTTATAGACCATTCAAATATTTTGATGGTAGAATTTTGAATCTGAGTCTTTGTCAAAGCTTAATTCTGAATAATCATTTCCTGGTATTAAAGTAAAATATCTAAGGAGCTGTGAACCTGTCCCTTTAAAGTACATACAATGGTGTAAATCAATCTTGTCTTAATAAAAATAACAAATTTCCAACCAAAAGAAAAATAAAAGCAATAACATCCAAAAAATACCAGTTTCTTCATTCTCCATTATAACATTTTTCTGCAAGAAAATTTCTAGAAATTGGAGAAAGTAAAGTTAGGGAGGATGACACTTCGTGAATGTGTAAACTTTGTTTTAACTCCAATATGTAAAGATCTTAGAAGTCATCACTTCAGTTTAAAACAAACAAACAAAAAAATGTAGGAAAATTTGAAATCAATGACTTTCCTGGACTGATAAGTGAGCAGAAGTGGAATATGCAGAGCAAATTGCCTCCTCAAAATATAGAAACAAGTGAGTCCAGAAAATCACTACTAACACCTCCTTACCTGGAACAGAAGTTACCGGAATCAAATCGTCTAGAAGGAAAACGTGGCAATTTTGAAGGCTTGTTGGAGACGAAGGGGGAAGCAGCAACCTTCTGGGGCCATGGTCTCAGGGCTGCCTCAGTTCATGGCTTTCAGCTCCAGGAAACCTGCGAGCTTCTCAGGGCAAAGATGGAGGAAGATGCTCTAGCGCCCGTCAGCACACAAGAGGAATACTCCTCATGAAACCTAACTACCTGAAAACAAGCCTCCATGCGCTGGGAGAAAACTCCTTATTGTCTTATCTTGGGGAAAGGACCTTTCTCCCTCTCCAGCCCCACTCACTTTCCTGTCTCAGTGAAGTGACTGGGATGAGTAGGGAGCTGAGGAACAGTTACGAAGGCCACAGCTCAAGGATGCAGTTCCACATTAAAGAATGAGCCTCAACTATGAGCTGAGAGACGCCCCTCCCCCCACTTCTGTGAGGGGAAGTTTTGTGGAAATCCAAAACCAAGATGGGAGACAATTAAACAAGATGCTAGAGGAAAGCAAAGCCTCTGAACCTACAGTTGCAGCCAATCAGTAGGCAAAGCCCAATTGTTAGTCAGATTAGATTCGCGGAACGTTTTCACACTGAATACCGACTCACCTCAGTTCCTATAACAGAGTGTACTATGGCTGATTTTCAAGTTACAAGGCACAGAGAAAGGTAAAATGAAAAACAGCCTCCAGGGGGAAAATAAGCATCAGAATCATATGCTAATATGACATAGATATTGGGGTTGTCAGACAGGGAATTTAAAATAACCTTGATTATTATTTCAGAGCTCCAGTGGAAAAGTAGAAATGTCAGTATATGAAGAACAGATGGCTAATGTAACCAGACAGATAGAAATTCAAAGGAAGAATAAAAATGCTTGGAATCAAAAATATTCTATCACAAATGAAGAATGCTTTTGCTTGTCTCACACACGGGGTAGGCAAAGTCAGGAACAATTCAGTGAGCTTGCCTATGGCTCCATAGAAACATCCCAAACTGAAATGCAAAGAGAAATTAAAGAATGGAGAAACAGAACAGAACATCCCAAAACTGCAGAACAATTTCAATTGCTGTAACAAAGCTGTGGTTGTAATACCAGAAGCAGGACAAAAAACAAAGGAGCAGCGGAAATGATATCGGAAATACCGTCTGTAAACTTTCAATTTTTAATGGAAAACATCACAAACCACAGATTTTAAAAGTCTGGAAAACACCTAGAAGGATTATAAAAAAGATTATGCCGCTGCAAACCCCATTCAAATGGCAGAAAAACAAAGACAAAGTGAAATCTCAAAAAAAAAACTCATGCAAAACTGAAGCACCCAAATGAGGGTGTTGGGGCTGGAGGAAGTAGGGGGTGGCC